AGGAATGCAGAGGCAGCTGGGGCAGCCTTGGTGGGGAGGAACAACATCTCCACTCACCACCCTGCCGCCTTCCTGCAAACTTTTCGGGAGGCAGAGGCTGAGATTTGGCCTCTCCACCTCCACAGTGTCCCTTTCAGCAGCCTGGCCCCCAGTTTGAGCCCAGCTTTCCCACCCGCAGCTGCCCCCTGAACCCATCTCCCGCTGCCAACTCCCTCCATCCTTCCCTCCGAAGCCCTCTTATTTACCCTACAGCCCTGTGCATCACCCCTCTGCTATGAAGCACCCGGCTGGCGCGGATAAACGGCACTTTTATTGAAAACCTCTACTAGAACGCCGGAGGGAGCGTTCATCATTTCCTGGGTGCGATTCAGCCGGTGCAGAGTTCAGGGGATGCTGCGGCGCTGCCTTGCGAGGGCCGAGATGCATATTTGCTCCTACAAGAACCAAGCCAGGCTCCGTCCTGGAAAGAATTCTGCCTTATAAATTGTTCGCTGTGTTTATATTCTAGCACTGAAGACTTTATTGCTTTCCTGCTAAAAGAGACCAGAGCGTTTATCTCAGGCATTTCAGGGTGGCGTGCATAGCCCAGGCTCCTGCGGGAAATGACCTGCCTGGGACAGCCACGGCCCGCGGGGAGGCACAGGCACCAGGGATTAGACCTGGAAATGTCCATAAAGAAACTGGTGTGCTGCCAGCCGTTGGTTCCTTGAGCTGGTTTGCTGACAAACAGTGAGTATACGATAGTTGCTTTTGGAGAGAGATCCAGCCATAAATTGTCACCCAGACACCTCCGAATCTTCTTTTCCCACAAACTATGCAGCCCCGCGCTGCTGTCATGCCTCAAAATCTGTGGGCGTTTTCTCCCAGACAGAAAAATGATCTGGGAGGTGCGGTGGGGAGGGCTTTATACGCCTTTTCTCCGGCTCTCTGCAACGTCAGCCCAGAGCCAAACGTGGCAGCAAGAAATAAAGACAGACCATCCCCTCCCGGCTCTCGTTCACGACTTCCCTGTTTACCCAGGCAGGCAGCGCTTTGCCCCAGTCTGCCATCGGGCCCCGCACCTCGCCGGCCCTGGAGGGTTTTGCTGCCCTAGCATGAGGCCATGGCGACGTTCCCAGTGTTCCTACCGACATGGGGGCGAAATCGGGGAGCACCACTGCGGGATGCTTCCCCCAAATTACCGCCTCCCTCCGCCCCAGGGGCAGCTGCGATTGCCACGTGGAGCGGGGCTGGGTTACAAACCGACAGCATTATTTTGCATGAGTAAATGCAGCATGTACACCTTGCCCACAGGAACAAAAACAGATTAAATGAGCAATGTTGGGTGTTTTTATTTGTTTTTCCTAAGGAACAAAGTTTAGAATAAATTAATTCAAATAGGCATGTAGATTTTGGTCCTGTGCTATGACAGCAATCACGGACCCCTTCACTCCTTAATAGGCATGGGCTGTAAAACTCACAGGAACTATTAAAACTGTGGGACCATATCTAATCGCAGCAGAAGGGTCTGCAAGTCAGCGTAGTATTACCTCTCCAGTCTAGAAGAAAGTCCAAGTTAATCATCTGCTGGCTTGGGAATACCCCTGACCCAAGCCTCACAGAAAGAATGAACCCGAGCACGAGGCTTCAAAGGTATTTTGCCGCCTAACGCTCACCGAAAGCGTTGCGAATGCCAACGCCTTTCAAACCGCTTGGCTGCGGTTCCCCTCCGAAGGCGCTTGCCATCCAAGTGTCTGCTCACGCCTGCAGAGCCCGGCAGGAGGCCAAGCCCCTATTGCGACAGTTCCCCATCCGCGGGACTTCAGAATGAACCCGAGCACGAGGCTTCAAAGGTATTTTGCCGCCTAACGCTCACCGAAAGCGTTGCGAATGCCAACGCCTTTCAAACCGCTTGGCTGCGGTTCCCCTCCGAAGGCGCTTGCCATCCAAGTGTCTGCTCACGCCTGCAGAGCCCGGCAGGAGGCCAAGCCCCTATTGCGACAGTTCCCCATCCGCGGGACTTCGGCGGCCTTTTTTTTTTTTCCCCCATGTTGTCTGCGCGAGCATTGTTCTGCCGACGGCCGATTTGATCCTTTGGCATAGGAAGGAAATGTGCTGTACAGAGCTGGTGAAGGTCAGCAGCATCCAGAGCGGCCGTTCGGCAAGAAGGCTGCTCCCCCCCACCTCCTCCACCCCCCACGGTGGTGAGCTACTGGGGGCCCAGCTGTAAAACAACTTACAGATGTTACGATTACAGATAAAAAAGTAATGGCAGAAAATGTACGCATGACCCTCGAAAAAGAAAGTCAGAAAAAACCCCTATGATCTGAGGGAAGTTACAGATTCTTCCTTGGTTTGTTTGTTGACAGCTGAAAATAGAGATGTCTGTTCCCAAATGCTTCTGTTCCACCAAAGGGAACAGAAAAGTTGGGAAAGGGAAAAAAACATTTCCTAGAAGTCTGAAGAGCCTCATCTCCACGTGTTTGCAGGAAAAAAAACCCAAACAGACACCGTCTGAGTCTCTGATATGCTGGATAGGAACGTGCATTCCCTGGATTAACTTGACCTCTTTTGGTGAGGAGGAGGGGAGAAGGTGGGAGAGCACTGTGTAATTTCCTTCTCGATTGCTCTTTGTCCACTAACGTGGCAGATTCCTCCTGCGAGTGAAGCAGCGGTGGGACTCACGCTCCCATCTTTATCTACCCGCTGCTCTGTTTCCTTTCTGTCATTCCCTCAGGCCATACAAATATGGATTCAAGCAATCCGTTGCTCATCCATTCGGGACATCGCCAAAACCGGCCTTGCACTAGCCCTTGCCGAGGATGCTCTTTAGACCGTGAAACTCAGTTTCAGCTTTTGCTGCCCCGGCTGAGCTTAACCTCATCCTCAATAGTTTCAGTCAAGTCCTTCAAAAGAGGTAGTTATTTTTGCTCTCGGTCACTGGTGGCCTGAGCCTACACCCGCCTGGCACAAAGCAGCTGCTGGGGGCCACCACATCCTCTCCTGGCCACGAAATGGGAGGCAAACCCCGTCTGGTTGGGCCAAAAGAGCCCTGGCACAGGCAGGGACTTGCCATGCTTTGCACGATGGACCTCCAGGTGTGAGTTAAGCCCCGGCTGAACTTCTGGGGCTTGTGCAGAGTGGGGTTCAGTCCTCAGGCACCACCCAGCTTCTCCCACAGTGAAACGGGGTTTGTGGGGCTTAGCCCATGGCAGCTGTGACACCCCTCCTTCCCTCCCCCCCCCCAGTGGAGGAAGGCTTGAGAAGGTTTGATCGATTTGGGCTGTTTTCCCAATACTGCGTGAAAGCTTCCAGCGCTATTATCCCTTTAAACACTCATCAGGCCACGGTTAGTGTCAGCAGGCGCTGGGGTCCCCCTGCCCTGGCTCTTGGGGACTGGAGCAGCTCGCTGGGATGCCCACCTGCCTGCCTTCCCCAGAAACCATAAAAAAAAAAACCCTTTCATCCAACCCTGCGCTATGGCTGAGATAACTTTTGTGAGTCCGAAGCTTATCAAGCATTATCCGCTCAAGCTCGAGCCTCAGGCTGTCACTGCCGAGATGAGGGTCTCGGTCCTGCTCGCAGCCCGCAAAGTGGCTTGGAGATTCCAGGGGCTGCACAGTGCCACAGTTTTTAAGAACATAGGGCCAAAACCCACTGGAAGGTCTGGGCTATTTTAGACCCGGCCTCTGTTGCCCAGCAGTGCTCCAGTATAGGAACTGGTTGAGAAGGGGAAGGGAAGATTTTTTTTTGTTGTTGTTTTTTTTTGTTTCTGACAGGTTTTGGTCACAGCCCAATTCGTGATTAATTATTAAAGGCAGCAAATTTCCACGTTCCTTAACATCTGGCACTATCTCCTGGAGCCTGGGGGAGAATAAAACAACAAGTCCTGGGAATGCGGGACACGTGCCCGGGCTCGTAGGATCAACTGCACCAGTTGTTTTACTCAAGAGGCACCGCGGCTCCCTAAAAACCGGCCTCTCCCCCCAGCCCGGTGGAGGTCCTGTTGCAGCCTCCCAACCTCTGAGCACCCCCAGCTGGGTTTTGTCATGAAAATTTCGTGGCTAGGAGAGAGGCTGGGGAGCAAAGTATAGAATTACAAGGGTAATTCTTTATTTATGTGCGGGAGGTGTCCCAAATGAGGTTTTACACACGGTTCTTATACCTCTCCAGCATTCGGGCACAATGTGATTTTGAACTAGTTTGGAACTCGATGATCTTCAAGTTCCCTTCTGACCTAAACCATTCTATGATTCCATGATTTGACCAATCGCTGCTTAACACACAGATGCCACTGTTTTGCAAAGCAAAATTTTATGGCATCATCACCCGTCTGCTTCTCTCTTGATCTAAATGTCCCCAGAGTTGGTCTTGCTGCCGTTAACGCGTCTATGATGCCAGGTATTGGGGGGGGGGGGGTTCACAGAGGTCTT